CCCCCCCCCCCCCCCCCCCCCCGGGGGAAACGGGCCAGAACCGGGGGGGGGGGGCAAGAAAAGAAGCATTTTTGTGACAACCCCCCCCTCCATCTGCCTTCCCGTCATTCCAGCCAGCTGGTCCTGAAGGGATCAGGTTGCTGCAGTTATCCCAACCTGAGGGAAATTTACCTCAGTGATTTCGTTTCCCTGAAGATCAGGGCTGTCCAGGCGGAATCTAACAGAGCCGCCTTGGAGTGAGGCCTACCAAAACAACGATAAAGTAACAGTGTTTGCTCAGAATGGAAAAGGCAACAAGCCTGGACGCTTAGGAGCCATGGGCTCCCTCAAAACCAGGAGGAAGCACCCTGCTTAACCCGTGGACAAAACTGGGGCGGTTAGATGTCTCAGCCCGTCTCTTCACCTCTTCTTCTGCCTAGCATCACTTAGGACAGAGGCCTCCAACCTTGGTGACTTTTAAGACTTGTGGGCTTCAACTCACAGAATTCCTCAGCCAGCAAAGCTGGTTCGCCATCAGCAAAGCTGGCTGAGGAACTCTGGGAGTTGAAGTCCACAAGTCTTAAAGTCGCCAAGGTTGGAGGCCCCTGCTTTACACCACACAAACCCCTATTTTCAAACACGTTTCAAGGGAGCTATCAGTGGATCGGAGCTGCTTAAAAGTCCCCCCCCTCTTTCTGAGATTAGGACCCGCTCAGCGCGTCTTCTTCCGAAGCACCATTTCAATCCGGAGGCGTCCGGTTTGAGCCGAGATCACCATGCTGCGCCTCGAGCCTCGTTTAAGGCTGCCCCCTCCGCTTGCACCCCTTCTTCCGAGGAGGCCAAAGCAGGATTTTAAGAGAATAACGTTGTGTGAAAGGGACAGACATTCGGGTTTTACGGCCGTGGCGAGGATCGTGAACACGGACCAGCCCCAACGTGGCTCCATTTCTGCTTTAGACACCCTTAAAAAAGAGCACGCTGGACCGTTTCAATGGAGGACTACCTCCGTTGAAAGCTTTTATCCAGAATCTTACAGGGATGAACCTACCAGCTTAGGGCAGAGACGATGAAACTTTGCAACACCAAGTTCCCAAACTGGAACACATGCACACGCCAGAGTCCCGGAAACTCAAAGACGACCTGTCCTATGCGCATACATGTGCCGGCCACCTGGTCTTCTAGTTTCTGGCACACACATGCACGCTGGCCAGCTGCATGGGCAGCTATCTTTGCATATGCAGGAGCACCAGAAATCCGAAGAACAGGTGGCCAGCATGTTTTCGCACTGGTCAGCTGGTCTCTGGGTTTACAGCTCTCCAGCAAGCGCAAAGGTCAGCTGGCCGGCACCCATGCGCACGCCAGAAACCAGGAGCATCTGGCGACGGCGTGCATACCCACAGGGAGGACTATGTGTGCCACTTCTGTTACACATACCATAGGCTCGCCATCATGGGCTTAAGAGCGTCCTTTCACCCTATATCGGGATTCCTGGCTTCACGGCTTCAATTGCTGGAGATTATCAAGGCCATCGGAACTATTCAATCGAGGAATTCAATCTACTTCCAGCCCTACAACCCCAGAGGGAAAAATTTTTGCCTGCAAACTGAGACGCCCAGCTTTTCAGCAATCTTTGGGAAAGCGGTGGGTGGCCTCTGGGTTTTTCTTTTAAGCTTGCTATATCTGGCAGCAGGAAGGACGCTTGAGAATTTCGTGGCGCCTTCGTGGCTTTTAAGTGCTGGCGAAACATGCAGAGGCAGGAGGCGTTCCAGCTAGGCCTAAAAAACGGCAGCCTTCTCTGGATAAGCCAATCCCACTTCAGCGATAGCTAAATACGGCTCCTTAAAATATTTCTCCCGATACATTAGGCCAGGGGGTCCCCAACCTGTGTGGGCCGCGAGGGATTTGCCACCGGGTGGTGGAAACGGCCGGCGAGCGCCCGCACACATCCTCACTTACATGAGCAACGGGCGAGCACAGCTCGTGTGCTTCATTCGCGTGAGGGGCAGGCACACGTGCACGCCGCTTGTGGAAATGCAGCTGTGTGCATACGCGTGCCAGCTGCTTGCGTGAACCATTCCCTCTCTCCCTCCCCCCACACTCCACAAAGGCAGAAATGTTGGCGAACTCTGCTTTAGGCTACATATGTGGCAGGAACCTTGTGAAGTGGCACTATTATTTTTTTTAATTGTTTTCCGACTGTCTGGTAGCTTTGAACCTGTTGCTGTCTGCTTGTCAGACAGAGATGTGAGACTGGTATAGATCAGGCTCCCGTTATTAGAATAAGTTAAGGGAGAAGACAAGCAATCACCCCCACCCCCACAAAAAGCATCAAGAGGGGTTCAAGGCTCGGAAAGATGGTATTTTGGTAGCCCAGACACTTTCCCACAGATGAAACTTTCCGTTAGAAGAAGGAAATTGTCTCCAAAACGATTAGAGGGATCTGGAGCTTTCGACCTGACACCCCTAACAAGGTGTTGCGAATTTGCCAAAACCATCATCGAACGAAGAAAAACAGGAGAGAGGGACTTTTTTTCCCCAAACTTCATGGTTAAGGCTTCCTTGATCATTCATACGGGGGAAATCCGAGTCACTCAAGAGCCATATTTGCCGAAGTGCCAGTATTTTGGTACAGGGATGGGTCTTCTGAACGGGCGCCGCTGATGAGGTTATTTTTCGGCGAACTCCAATAGGGTCATTTCAGCTGGGGAAGAAGCTGGGACCAGCTCAAATCGGTCTCCAAGTTGTCATCCTCGGCGTACGGAAAACTGATGTCTAGCGAGAGCTTGCTCCAATTCTCGGGCATGTTGTCCAAGGCGAGGTCCTCCAGGAAGGAATTGTCCCCTGCAAACTCACAGGCCACCTTGCTGGATGGGGAAGAAGTGTTCAAGAGCCCAGGGACCATCTCCCCCGTTTCTGCGTTCAGAAGTGGACACTGGGGAGAATCACCCAGGGATTGTCTCAGCGGGCTCTCGTTAAAGTCCAGATCTAAATTATCCGGGAAGGACAGGAATGGCAAGGGAGAAGATCTCGGAGTACTGAAATCAACCTTGCTCCTTTCGTCAACCAGAGGGGTCAACCTCCACTGGTCGGTAGTTGGCAGGGGTGTAGAGGTGGTTACGGGTGTTTTAGTTGGAGTGGAAGCAATCTGCAACCTGCAAGTCACTGAAGGGTCGTCTTCTGGACCACAGAGAAGGGTTCCTAGAGGTTCCTTCTGATTGGACGGACAGTGTCCCATTGGGAAGGAAGTTGAGCCACCGCTGAGGGGCAGAAGGAGAACTGGTTCTTCGGAGGAAGAGAGGGCTAAGTGCTGTTTCCTTCTGGATCTGCCCAATTCTTTTTTCCTTATAACCAGCTTGCCCTGGGGGGATGACCGGAGACCTGTAAGGAGACCTCTCTTTTGTTTTATGGGGGATGCTTGGACATAGAGGTCCTGCTCCTCACCACTTCCCACTGGTTCCTCCTTTACAGGCCATACTGGGACAAAAGAGGAGACCCTGTCCCGGGTGTGAAAACTGTCCCTCAGAATTCCCGCCAAAGGATTTCTGCCGTCTGTACAGCTGCCTTCCTCAAGAGGGCGGTGGAGGGTTAATGAAGAAGACTCTTCCCCGCAACAGTGTTCCACCTTTATGGAACTCAGAGGAGGCGACAGGACCGGGTCTTCGCTGGAGCGCAGGATCTGCAAAACGAACATGGGAAGGAAGAAGCTGAACAACGCCTTTGATTTTTAGACACCGTATTTTTCAGAGTATAAGACGCACCGGACTATAAGACGCACCAAGATCTTGAAGAGGCAAATTAAAATAAAAATTTTTGCACTCTGCAGACCTCTCAAAAACGGGCCCAATTTTTGTAAAAAAAAAAAAAAGGGGGGGGGGGGAAATGCATAAACTTTAGGAGGCTTGTAAAGTGCTCCTGGGGGCTGGGGCAAAAACTAGCAAAAAAATGTTTCCCCCCCCCCCCAAAAGGGGCATGCATAGCCTTTAGGAGGCTTACAGAGTGCTCCTGAGGAGGCAAAAATCGAGGAAATCTCAGGGTTTCAGGAGGCAAAAAGTGCTGTATTCAGTGTATAAGATGCACCCAGATTTTCACCCTCTTTTATGAGGGAAAAAGGTGTGTCTTATACTCCGAAAAATATGATGCATTCTCCTGGGGGGATCAGTTATCTTTTAGGCCTGGAAATTTATTTTCGCCCTCTTAAACTGACCATTGTTCTTGGCCTCCATTTATACAGGCATTAGAGCTGCAGTTTGAGCCAAGAGGGATCGCCAACAACTTCTAGGGAATCTATACATGCGCCAAAGATATTGCAGGGGGAGTCCTCGACTTACAACCACAATTGAGCCCAACATTTATGTTGCTAAGCGAGACAGTTAAGTGAATTTTGCCCCATTTCTTGCCACAATGATTAAATGAGTCACTGCAGT